ATCACCCCATCCACGGTGACACAGTTGATGGGCACCTTGGTTCCCAACGGCTTCCGAAAGAAATGAGACGTTCCCCGCTCATTCGAATTCGCATGGAAGTCGAACTGTCGATCGCGGGCATATTGGCCATGCTCAGACTTGGCTGAATCGTAGGCTAGCTGAGCCGCAGCAACATCAGCAGCCTTGGAAACATCGTCACCGTCACCGTCCAGTGCCCGTTTTGTAGCTGCGAGACGGAGTCGCAGGTGGTGGAGTTGGGTGTTAGCCGATTCGATGTGTAGCCGATGGCATTTGATGAGCTGGCGTCTCATTCGTTTCAGCCAGCCATACCACATCGCACCATGGTTGAGGGTCTCGTCAGCTCGCATCTTGCCAAGAAGAGTGGTGGCCTCCATGGTGATGGCACGTTGGATGTTGGGATCGGACAACAGCTCTCGTGGTAGTCGCCAGTAGCCCTTCGTAGTGGGGCAGGGGCTCTGGGACAGAGTCACAGTGTGGGTGAGATGGTCGCCACCATAGCCATTCGGGTCATATCTGGCCTCGGGGTTGAGATGGGAAGCCAACTCGTCATGCAGGAAGAGGTAGTCCAGCCGGTTGACTCGCCCAGGGCCGCTGAACAGGCGTGTGGATGGATTGAGCTGACGCCATACGTCGACCACACCGAGTGCTGTGAGCCACTCCACACAGTCGGTTTTGCCATTCCCGTGACTTGAGTGCAGTGTCGAGGCATCGAGGGATGGGTGGAGAGGGATGTTGAAGTCACCTCCCACCAGGTGCAGACTGTCGTGTTCGAAATCACGAGGCAGGGCTGCAAAGAATGCACCACGCAGATGGGGCTCCACGGGTGCATAGATGTTGTGGATGTACACAGGCAAACCACTCCATTCAGTCCTGACCACCAGGTAACGGCCCGGGATATCGTGGTTGGACAGGTGAACCAATGAGGAATAGCGAGGCATGGACTTGTGAAAGAAGCTGGCTACCCCGCAGTGCCGACGGTGAACCGGGTCGGCAGTGGTTGCTCTTGGATCGTTGGTGAAGAGGGTGTAGTTGCCAGCACCAACCTCATTGTTGAGGTGGTGGTGGAAGGTATCGAGTTGTTGTGCATTGCGCATCTTCGTTTCTTGAAAGACGACGCAGGTTGGAGGTTTTTTGAGACGTCGAGCCACTAGGTGGCCATTGATGTTGAGGCCGTTCAGGTTGCAGGTGGTGATGGTGAAGGATGAGGTTGGGTCGAGGAGGTTGGCCGGTAGCACCTTAGTACTGACGGTTGACCACTTGGGTCATGGTGGAGTCGTCCACCGGGGTGGCAGTGTCATCCACTTCGTCAGTCGGGACGACAAATCGGCCCAATTCCTGATCCCATCGTGTGATGCCGATGTGTGGAAGGCTGACGAATCCACTCTCGTGAATGTCGTACAGGTGCGCCATGACTCGGTTCATGTCGTCATCACCATCAAACATCGTTTCCATGATGCGCCACAGCTCTTCACCAAGGTGGGTTGACATGAGGACAGCTAGCATGGTTGGAGCCGAGAGGGAGCGCAGCCCACGGTGCGCAGGGATGATCTCAATGGTGCATCCAGTGGACACCATGACGGCTGCATCGGATGCAAAGTAGAGAGGGCTATGGGCTGCTGCAAGCACCTCAGCCAGTGCCAGCACCAGTTCCAAGTCCAATCTGGACAGGGTCAGCTCGTCACCAGCTTCCGTCTCGGAAACGATGGGTGCCAGGGTGTCGGAGTGTTGCAGGGCCCGGAACAGCTCAACCACCGACTCTCTGGTCATCTTGTGTCCAAACGACTTGGTGTACAGCTTGTCAAATGATGCTGAGCCACCCCAGGTCGCACGGAGCCAGCGGTGCAACAAACGTTGGCGAATGAGCAGCTCAAAGGTGGGGCGATCTGCAGTGAACAGACGATGCAGCTGGACCCCAAAGTCCACTGGGTGTCGTGCCATCATGGTGCAGATCA